GATTCAACTTGCCGTGCATCTTCTAACCGAGGGACTATCGATAAGTTACTAACCAAGTGGGAACTCTTGGTTGATTTCTTTATCTGTTTTATTATCACTGTCCATTTTAATCTGTATTGTTATGTCGTCTGCTTATTAGCTTAACGTTTTTATTAACTATTATACATGCAAACTATATCTCTTGTTGTCATCAGTAAAATTCATTGCTTTTTGTAAGTGAGACTTGTCATTTTTTTCCTTTCCATCATCACCTCCTCGATCCCGAACCAAAAAGGCCAGTGGCCAATAAAGCTGCAGTGCTCAGTCAGTCTACAACTAAATTGATATACTCACAGTGCCCAGCTGGCCTGTGACACCCGCCTCACAGTCCTGACTGAACTGGGCTGGCCAAAGTGGTCATTTCTTTGTCTGTCAGTTAATATAAAGCCATTGTTGCTCACTACTGAGGTAAGGGAAGTATGTGCAGCTTTAAGCATCGAGTACCCTATTTGCGCTAATTAGTTTTTATACCTACTTTAAGACATCTTTTAGACTGCCCAATTGTCATAAGGGAAATTCAGTGTATAATGTCCAACTATGCAGTTGGACAAATACCTATGTGGTAGGGCCCTGAGAGTGCACAGGCCCATATTAGTTCACTTTCTGGCTTTTTAGCTTAATTTTTTCACCCTAATTCCTCAGATTTATTTCAGATGTTATGGGGGTTTTTTTAAGAAAGCTGCCAGGAGTCCCAAAAGATTGGTAAAAGGTTACTATGCCATCTTACCAGGCTCCAAGTGCCTCCCTTAACACCCAGCAAGTGGGAGCTGAGAGCACTTAGCAAAGTACTGAGCCCATTGCAGGATGAGGCCTCAGCATTAATTTTCCTTCAAGTGCTTTAATCAGCACCTGATTGCTACATATTTATCAGCACTTGGATTGAGAAGCATCATTGTGATTGGCTGGCAAAGTGCAGAGGGTTTAATTAATCACCATGGACTGCAGTTTGGCTAGATCTGCTGCTTTAACTTTCTAAACTAGCAACTTCCAACATAAACACATCTTGCTTCTGAGTTTCTTACTGTATATAAAGCACAAAGAATGTAATTGTCTTCTCTATCGACATCTTTAAGAGTGATTATGAAGGAAATTAATTATGATTGCGGAGTGTTAATAAGTTAGTTACACTTTGTTGATGTAGCATCAAAAAGGTGGCACAATGGAGCACCTGCAGCTCTTGATAAGAGTGGTCACTATGTTCATTCAGACTCCATTTAACCATGTAATAATTGGATCCCAACATTGGATTATTTGACCAACCATTTCCGTCCTTATTCAAGCCAACATCACATTGGGAGTGGTAACAGGAACCAAGTCATTTTGACTATAGTTTGACTGTTGTGTCTGCAGGGTTTGATCTGTCAATTATTTTTGCCAAGTGAATCCTGTAGACTACCTCACAGTGGTTGGAAGACAACTAGTCCTTGTAGGCTATAGGGAATTTAGGTATCATCTAGGATCCAGCCGGATGAATTTAGTTGTACAAAATAACCCACAGACAATTGATTACTTGCTTACCTGGCTTGCCCGTATGTTAACATTCCCAAATTTCAACAGCTTTAGCACCACTTCCATGTCTTCATCAGTCTCCGCTGAGGCCAGTGGTGTGATCATCACTGCAGTGTAACCAGCTTTGTTCTGATGGTCCACATCACACACACCTAAAGCCAAGAGTAATTTTTTTCATATATGTTTACATAGGCTCAGGAAGGAATTTTTTTCCATCCTCTGTTGCTACATGTGTCAGGGGCTATTTTTGTCTACTACAGAAGCACTGGGTATTGGCAGGTGTGGGGGCTGTGCCTTGTAGTTGTAAGACAGGCTTGATTTGTGTAGTTTTAGTAATAGGTTAGACACTGTATGGGATGGTTTGGAAAGGGATGGTCCTGCTTCAGGAAGGGGGTTGGATGGGATGACCTGCAAATGTACCTTCCAGTCCTACTTTTCTATGATTCTACACAGACAGAATAAGATTTATTTATACAACACACCATCTTTCTAAACCAATGTAACGCTTCATTGTGGAAACTTTACTTCATCGATAGTCAAAAAGGACTGACCATTTTCAATACTGAATTCTTTGAACTTGCGTCTCATTAACTTTGAGAACTGAAAATGGCAACTCTAGACAAAGCTAATGGTGACACTCAGTACCTGAGATACTGCTTTTCAGTAGTACCTATTTTCAGAGGTGCACACAAGCTAGGTAAACTGAACACTAAGGACTGTCTGTGGTAGTTCAGGTTATCTCAGGGAGATTGCCAAGGATCATCTCTCCAAAAAATAGAAAAAAGGAAAAGATTCAAAGGAGAGGGCAAAAGGTGAAGGACCTGAAAGGGGGGAAATGGAAAGGAAAAAAAAAAGTCTTGGGCTACGGGCTGAGGAGGGAGAGGAGGATCCAGGTAGTGAACCAAAGGCTGCGGCGCTGGTGTCATCAGGAAGGCTTTGGCTTCCATGACCACAGCCCGCTCTTTGGAGACAGAGGCAGTGAGCTGCTGGGAAGGGACGGCCTCCACCTCTCTCCGCTGGGGAGGAGGCT